GACTGCATTGGAAAGATGCAGTAAAAAAAAAATTGCGTGACAATTTTAAAAGAAAATTATGTTATAGTGAAGATATAAGATTAATTACTTCATTACAAATTATATCAGAAATGCAATTAGAAAAGTTGCGTGATGTTATAATGAGTTTAAGAAAAGAATTATATGCGCAAGATTACCTTTATTGAATTATGTATTCAAATCTAGAAGAATTAGGGAATACCCAAGTAAAAATAGTGTAAATTGCAGTAAAAGTGTAGGATTCGCATTATTGGATTATGCCGCAAATTAAAAAATTGATGTAAATAATTGTAATAAATTACGGCAATAGTGTAAAATCAAAAATGTATTTAATCAATGCTTTTTAATCTTGAATAAATTTTCATCAATAAATCTGATTCGAATTCTTTATTTTTGTTTAATTGAAAATCATCATATTTAATAAATCCGTCATTCTGAACTTTACATATACTTGATATAAAGTATCGCTTATATTTTCCATTGATATTAAAATTGCTTAATATTATATACTAAAATTACAATAAAAAAAAATAGAATCTTAAGAAGAAACTGTATACACTAACAAAACTGATAGTGAAAGTGATAGTAACAATATGCCTTCTTCTACAAGCACATTAGCCAGTACTAAAAAAAAGAGAAATAGAAGTAAGAAGAGTTTCATGTGGAAGTACTTTACAGTAGTTGAAACAAAAGATGAAAAAAAAGATGTATGTCAAGTTATGGTTAAGAAAAAAGGAGAAGACAAAAAATGTGAAGTAGAATATATTCATAACAATTCAACATCAAATATAATTGCTCATCTAAGATCGCATAATATCATAGACAATAAAAAACAAAAATCCGAAATACAACAAAATAAACAAACTACATTAACTGAATTAATCCGATCTAATATTCCACATAAGGTCGATAAGCAAAAAGAATTAAATAAAGCAGTTGTTGAGTGGATACTTCTTGATAATCAACCATTATCAGCACCAAGAAAAAAAGGATTTCGTTGCATGATAACAAAATTTGACCCAAGATTTCGTCCACCTTCTGATAGAGTTATAAAAAATGAAATAGCATTTAGTTACTTAAAAAATATTGATATTCTTCGACATGAAATCAAACAATCTTGCAAAACTGCTACTATAACAACTGATTTGTGGACTTCACATAATAACCAAGGCTATATTGGAGTTACTTGCCACTGGGTAACTTCTGACTGGTTATTACATAGTGTATTATTGTGTTGTGAAAAAATGTCTTATTCACATACCGCAGAGTCTATTTATCAATTTCTTCAAACAAAATGTTCTGAATATAATTTAGAAAATAAAATTATTTGCGCCATTACTGATAATGGCGCAAACATGGCAAAAGCTATTCGATTATAGAATACTGTTACCTGGCTTCCATGTGCTGCACATACTCTGCAGTTAACAGTTAATTCTTCTTTAAAAAAAATTAGCTCAAAAACAAAAAAAATAAAAAAGTTGGTTAATTTTTTTGATTTGCCTAAACAACAAGAAAGATTAGAAAAAGCTCAAATAAATGTAATGGAAAGAGATAAATTACCTTAGTCTAATTTAATTAGTACTGAACCTTATTTTGAAGAAGAAGAAACTGGCGAAGTTAATGATGGTGTTAGTACAGATTCGGAATGACTTAATATAAATGTCACTCTAAAAACTCTTCGTCTACTTAAAGATTGCCCAACTAGATGGAACTCCACTTATAGATCTTGGGAAAGGCTTTTAAAATTAAAGAATGCAATTATATGGTTAGAAGCTAATTTAAAAATTTCACGAAATTCAGATGATAAAAAAGATGAACAAAATTTTGCTCAATGTTTACCTGATGAAGACGAATGAAGGTTAATTGAAGAATTAGTTAAGGTCTTCGAGCCATTCGACCAGGCTACTGAAACCTTTAGTGCTGAAAAATATCTTACATTGTCGGTTGTTTATCCTATTATTGAAATGTTAAAATTTGAATTTGCAACAAATTCAAATTTAACTTCAATTAAGGATGATTTTAATGAAGAATATAGTAATTTTTAATATTTTCTATCATAAGTTATTACCAAAATATAATGCTAATATTTACCTTTTTATAATTAAATAGCGATAATGATAATGAAAACGCACAAATACTAGATACTTATGATATCTAATCAATAATTGCTTACACTAAGAAAGCAATTTATAATTCTCTTTAGAAATATTGGGGTGAACCAAAATATACCAGTCTTTTAGCTACTTTACTAGACCCTCGGCTTAAAAAAATGCGTCCTTGGTCTAATCATCTATGAGAAGAAACAATAAGAATATGCCGTGAAGAACTTGATAACATTACTGATGCGACACCTATACAATCTATTTCTTCCACCAGTACTACTTCAACTAATCGTTATTTTGCATCAATATTTGATAATAATGATGATGATAATCTATTAAATAATAAAAGTGAATTAGATAAATATTTAGAAGCATCGCTTGCATCACCATCAAAATGACCTTTAGAATGGTGGAAGGAACGAGAAAAAGATTTTCCAAATTTAAGTAAGTTAGTAAAAAAGTACTTATTTATCACAGCAACTTCAGTGCCAAGTGAATGCTTATTCTCAGATGTGGGAAATCAAATAACACCAAAACGAACATGTCTCAGTCCAGAAACTGTTTCTTAAATATTGTTTTTAAAAAGGAATAGTGAATTAATTAGTATCACATAAAAAAATTTTTTAATTTGAATAATTTGCAACTATGTAAAATTCTTTTCTGATCTCTTACGCTATATAAGTAATCCATTAGCTATATTGGCACGGCTAAAACTTGAAATCAGGAACCTTGATTTAAAACTATAAGCACCACCTATATTCTTTTATTAATTAAAATTTCAAGCTTTGGCCGTGATATATATTATTAACTAATTGATTATAGAATAGGATTACCTATATTATAAGAGTTGTTTTTTAATTTTAAATAAAGACTATTAAAGGCTTTAGTTATAAAATACCGTATAATGGATTTCAAAATTAATCTTGCGCATGACATGGTTGAAGTCAGCATCTACTTGAAGTTGAAGTTTTAAGTGTTTAGAATTGCACTAACTGAAATTAGCAACCGAATTAGATCCTTAGTGATTTTGATTTTAAGTGAATTTAATTTTAAGTGCTTGAAATTACAACTCAAGCAAATGTTAATTTAATAATCACATGTATCACGAAATTTTATTGGATGTAATCATGTAAGTTAGCCAGGTTAACCGGGTTAGGCGGGTTAGACGGATTAGGCGGGTTAACCGGGTTGGTATCCAGGTAAGGGTTAAATAAACAGGTGGGTGACCCGGAGTAGAATTTTATACCGGGCCTAATCTCTAGTTGAGATGAACTCTACAAGGGCATAGCGGTTTAATGATATGCCCTAACTGCAAGTGTTGGTCTCAGCCATAGTGATACCAGGTCAGTTGTAAGAATGGAATACAGAAGATTCTGGAAGGTTTAGTACAAGATCAAAGGTTTTCCATATGAATAAACTGCTTTAAAGACTTAGTGACTATAACATATTTGAACTGATATCGACTGGGACATCTTGGTAGGTGTAGGTAAGTGGGTGGATATGGAAACAGAGTGGTTAAATAAGGAACCTACAAGCAGGTTCCAGGTATGATATCTAGTGTAGAACCTTTGAGCGACCTACTTAAATTAGACAATAACTAAAGTTATACGAATAGCTAGTTGTATACTCTTTCTATGATTGTTCTCTGTAGTTGTAAAGCAACTATTAGCTGAATATACTATTAATAAAATCCTGGATCGCAAGTACTCACCTTAATATTTAAAAAAAATATATATATTTTTTTATATAAATATTATAATCTTCTTTGAATATTAACTCTAATCTTTATTTTTTTTCTTTTTTACATAAATATCACAATTCTTTACTAGATATTGACTTTAACCTTTCTTTTTTTTTTCATATAAGTACCAAAATTCTTCGCTGGATACAGCATTAATAATTCAAATCAGATCAAATATTGTATTACTTTTTTTTACATAAATATCACAATCTTCATTGAATATTGACTCTAATCTTTGTTTTTTTTTTTTATATAAATATTACAATTTTTCACTAGATATTGATTTTAATCTTTTTTTTTTTTTTACATAAGTAATACAATTCTTTGCTAGATACAATATTAATAATTTGAATCAGATCAAGTATTATGTAACTTTTTTTTATATATAAATATTATAATCTTTACTGAATATTGACTTTAATCTTTCTTTTTTTTTCTTTTTATATAAATAAAAATTTTTCACTAGATACTAGTATTAATAATTTGAATCAGGTCAAGTATCACATCATATTTTTTTATATAAATATCACAATCCTTTAATGAATATTAATTCTAACTTTTTTTTTTGTTTTTTATATAAATAATACAATTCTTCGCTAGTTACTAGCATTAATAATTTGAATTAGATCAAGTATCACATCATCTTTTTTTGTATAAATATTATAATCTTCACTGAATATTGACTCTAACTTTTTTTTTTTTTTTATATAAGTAATACAATTCTTTGCTAGATATAGCATTAATAGTTCAAATCAGGTCAAGTATCGTATAACTTTTTTTTTGTATAAATATCATAATCTTCACTGAATATTGATTCTAATCTTTCTTTTTTTTGTATAAATATCACAATCCTTCATTGAATATTAATTCTAATCTTTTTTTTTTATATAAATAATACAATTCTTTATTGGATACTAGTATTAATAATTTGAATCAGGTCAAGTATTGTGTCACTTTTTTTTTTGTATAAATATCACAATTCTTTACTAAATATTGACTCTAATCTTTTTTTTTTTCTTCTTACATAAATAATATAATTCTTTACTAAATACTAATATATCTTTTTTTTTATTAATAATTCAAGTCAGGAAAGTATCGTGTTTCATCTTTTTTTCTTGTATAAGTAACTAAATTCTTCACTGAATACTAATTCCAATTCTCTCTTCATGTTAATAATATAATGTATATATTAAAGTTGTGTGTTGTTAAATTCTGTTGTAAATGGTTTTACTGTCAATGAAATGTGTTGTCAGTGAATTTTAGTGTCAGTAAAATGAATGTGTCAGTAAATTTAATTGTGTCGGTAAAGTAATTGTCAGTGATCTTTATGTTGATAAAACTTAGCTTGTCGGTAAAACAAGCTTGTTGGTAAATTGTTTGTCAGTGAATAAATCGTCTGTAAAATAAGCTTGTCAGTAAAGTGATTGTCGTTGAAATGTGGTGTCTTTGAAGTGATTGTCGATGAGTTGAATGACACCGGAATAATTGTTGGGGCTGATGCTGAAACTTTGGGGTCTCGATTTGAAAATATAAGCCCTATTAACATCTGCATATACAAACCCCAAAAAATTTTAAAATTTCATATAAAAATAGGGTCCACTGTCAGCTTCAGCCACCACAATAATTTTGTTAAAATTGACAAATTAACAACTTACCCATTAACAACGATGAAGAGTCATGTCTTCATAAACATTTTAAATTCTTTAGCATTAGGGAAAACTTTATTCGCAGAGGTAGAACAAGTAACAGTAAATCCAGAAAGTATGTAATTCTATATTAATTACTACGAGAAGTTATGGGCTTCCGAGGTTAGAATTTTAATAAATTAAAAACCGCTGCAACGAGTTTGTATTTGTTTATTTAAAAAATTCACATTGTTTGTTTTGCGTGAGACAAACAATCAACGTGTGGCAGAGTGTTTATATTATAGAAGTAAAAATTTGAAGCGCATACACCTTTACATCTAAAATTTTAAATAGTGCATTTCAGTTAAATAAATCCAGAGATCCACACCCGGGTCTAGTACATGGTTTACTATAAAGTAGGATCTTCTAATTTCCATTTAAGATACCTTTGTATCGCAGTAAAACTTCCATGAAGTGATTTATTTCGCAAGGATTATTTATTGCATGATATGTAAACAATTTAGAGCTGTATATACTTAATTAATGGCTATTAAAACAGATTCAGTTTGCTCTAGTTAATCTTAAGAATTATTGATGATAATAGTGAATCCAAACTAATAAGTAATTCCGAAAAGATTCCTAAAAACAAAAATAACGATTATAGATTAAAATTTAAAAATATGTGGGTTATAACACTATTGTGCAAATGAAAAAACTTCTTGAATATATTGTAAAGTATAGCAGATCAGAAATGCAATGATTAATGTCACTCAAATTACTGTAGAATTTGTAGACGCGCCTGATATTTAATCTTTAGGTATCTGGTGGAGTTGGTACTTGAGCTCGTTCAATGTGCTTGATTTCAGTGCAGGTAAAGTGAAGAGGGTTATTTGGACAATTAGGATCTTGAGAACAACCCTATTATAAAAACAGAAAAAATTATTTAATAATCAAAAGATCGAAATAAAACAAGAATAAGGACTTACTAATTTTTTAACAACAGGTCCAGTTGTATAGGATTGCAAAATATAGTCAACGGCTGCTGTAAGTTTATATAAATAAAATTAATAATTTAATGACATAGAAAGTTAAAGTATTTTATTGTCATTTACCAGCAACTATATTAATATCTTCAACTTTTGCAAATTCAAACCAACATGCACCAGCTCTTGGATCATCATTTAGTGGAATGTCACTAGATTTTGCAGCAAGGAAAATTGCAGCAGCCGCAATTGTTTTAGGACTAAAGAAAAGCATGATGGGAGCGTACATGCTAAATGGCAAATAAAAAAAATAATGTAAGTTAGATATTCTAAAAGGTTAAAAAATGGATACAATAAAATAATAACCAATTCATCAATAATTGAAAACTGCATCCGATTAAACGATTCACTATTTCTTGGTCATAACCTATTAATTTAAGATTTAGAAATCTATGAAAGAAATCAGAACAATGTATCTTTTTATCTATTTACCGGTAAGAAAATCACGAAACATAAACAAAAATTGAAATGGGAGTTTAATATCCATGTGAGAGTATATCACATAAAATATGATTGGTTCATATTTCAAAATTTTATATTTCCATTTATCAATTTCCTAGAAATATATATTGATTTAAACAAGTTAGGTTTAAATTCATATCAAAAAACATAAATAATTCATTGTTATGACAAATACGTGATTAGTGATCATGTGTTCATGTTTCAAGGATGTTCGCGCACTGTATTCAGAAACCTGACTAAGTTCTCGCCTGTTATCTGTTTGTTTTGCTGCAAGAAAAAGGCATGATGCACCAATATCCTATTTAATACCGAGAAACACCATTAGGAATTAAACAAATAGAACAAATAACAATAATGACACATCACAGATTTACGCTTACAAAACAATTGAATTCTTTCAAACTTTTATGCATGTAAAATATATGAAAATAGTGAACGGCCAACGCGTAGGTATAGCTGTCACTATATGGTCAATTAAGTTATGAAATAACAGTTAGTATTCTTATAATCGTCAAAAAAGAAGAATATTTGCAAATACTCTAACACTGACAATAATGCGAATCTTGCGAAAGGATATAGTAATAAATTAGGACCTGTACTTAATCTTTCCATAAATTGTACCCCTTTGGCACGTTGAAAAATTTCTTGAGTATAGGTCATATTATCACGTCGCGAAGGAGTGTTATTATGAAATTCATATGCGGTTAAATATCCCGATTCCGTAATGTATTGGATATGGTTTTCCATGGCAACCAAAGTTGTGAATATCGCCAAGATCCGTGATTTTGTTTATAAGTGTGAACACATTATTTTATCGTATTTCTGTATTTATCAATACTGTATTTATGATGTCATCAGGCATGATCACGTGTTTTTGGTAGCTATCCTATTCTTCACAACAAAGTGAATAATATCTTGATCTAACGTATTATTGTTTGATATATTTATAACATATGAATATATGGCGCAGTTAATAGATTGTTATATTTGGTAATCCTGCGTTACTAATCCAAACATTACTATTACTGTATTATAGAATAAACAGCACTTTTTTGTATTACTGATCCAATTGTTGATTAAACCAGTTCTATTTGAAGTTTCGCTTTTTATATCAAATGAAGGTTTGGCAGACATTATCATAAATTACTACCTTTTTTTTTTTTGTAATTTATCTGGTAAATTAAGATTCAGTAATTTATCCGTAAATTACTTATTCTAAACAAACATGCATTCATTGTTCTATGATATAAATAAAGTGTGAATTGATATTGTATGGAAATTTAACGGAGACTTTCAACTGCTAAATGTATGATCCGTGAAAATGTGACCCGCTTCGCTCTATCCAGCGTTGCTACAACTTCATTTTTGGAACTAGGTTAACGACACATCGAAAAATCAGGTGGAATTAATCAAAGTTAGGCTGGAATTAAGTAATAATATCAACCAACTATATTATTACCTGGACAACTTAGTACGTATGACCATACCAACCAGAAATTTTTGTCGATCTGCTAAATTTATTCATTTTTGATTTGCTGATCTTTGACTTTATAAGGATCCGAGAATTCTATTGTGGTCATTCCAGAGTAAATGAAGTAAGTTGAAATTTGATTGAAGTGCTTTAGTGATTTAAAGGACTTGAAAGAATTAACGAATTAAAAGACTATACTAATTAAAGAGAGTAAAAGGATTTTATTAGGTTTAATGCATAAAAATGGTTCATAAGTAAAATTTGTTACAAACAAAGGGCGTTCTACGAAGGCATACTGGTAGTTCAATAGATAAAATGTTCGTAACTTATTTCTTGACCTTTTGATAAATTTATCAAATTCCCTAATTGATCTTCTGTTTGAGTGGGATCGATGTTTGTTACACTGCTAAATTGCCACAGGTTAAGTTCAAGATTGTGGATTGTTAGATTGTTTTGCATTATCCGAAATACTCGTATAAAACATTAACAACCAAAATCATATTTTTCCACTTACCGAATGTAATTATGTAGTATGAAACTCCATTTGAATTAGAAATATTAAGAAAATTGGAAACTAATGAAACTATATTGATGGAAAGTACTGGGTTGAGAAATTTTAACTTTTTATAAGGCAGAAATTTGTTGAGAATACAAAAAATGTTGCATAAAATTTCATGCTGTCTAATGTTGGTCGATTTATGCTTGTTCCGACCTTGTTTGACCGTTGACTATGTAGCATCGATCTGTTGACCCATGTAAACATCATGATTGCGTACGAAAGTTTTAAAAAATAATATGTAGAATTTGATCTTAAAAATGATTTATATTTATAATCAGCTATTGTAGTAAATAGTGTAAAAAGGAAAAAGGGAAATTAGATGATATTAATAAACGAAGCGAAATAGTATGCTATTAGTATCGAAACCAAGGAGGAACAACATAACCGGTAAGGGAAATCAAATAATCAATGCCTATGTTATGATTGTAAGACGACGAACAGGTGAGACGCAGTATATATTTTTTAAGAAATTTAATACTTAAGATACCTACATATGGTTTCTTAGTAAAATTTTTGATTTTTTAAAGATATTGGAGCAAATGATTGGCTGACATGTGCTGCATGATCCAATAGATAGATCTGTGACGCAAAACATACTGTCAGAGGTAAAACCGTCACGCCGAAAAACCCGGAAAGTGATCGTCATAATGGCCTACTTGCCTAATCGGTAGTGGCCATGACGATCCACTTGAAACATGTGCGCCCGGCCCCAAGAAAGCCATATGACAGTACACAAGTCTCCATGTGGGACCCCCACCACCCCCTCCAATTAAAGAATGGTCGATCTTGACCAACCTGTTCGTACCAATACGGCTGGTAATGGACGTTGACTCCACCTTACCCTACTTGGGTTAAGTGTGAGACGATGTCAAAAGGGGTGCGATTGTAATAATTATGTTGGGTTCTGGCCCCGGGACGAACAGTACTGAAACATTTCTTATCGGTTCTATGATGACCGTGAGAAATGTTAAAGTAACGAAGGCTGTGTCTATGAAGAGGTTAAGGGTTAGAACAAAAAAGGTTGGGATTCAATGGGGAAAAAGAGCAAAGAGTCGTGGTATTGTATGTGCTCTTCTCGCCGTCAATTTGTTATAAAAAGGGTGGAACTTTCCCCTCTTGAAAAGTAGTTCAGAGCAGTACAATAATATAGTTCTATAGTTCTATAGAACAGTAATGTCCCTACGAAATAATAAAAATTAATAAAGCCCCTTTGAACCCATAAAATAGTGTCGTGCGGCAAATCGGCGAGTCTGTCGCTAATTCCTTCCAATTCTCGTGTAACCTACGGCGGCTAAGTCGA